ATTTCCACGGAGCGGCCTTTAAGGTGTCGCGGATAAATACAACAAAATAAAATGATACGACCAAGAGAACAACTGTGGTATTTTGCAAATACAGTATTAAATACGCGAATTAGCTAACTTTATTAGCAGCGTCCTCCGGAAATGCGCAAACAACAGACTAGCATCCTAATGCTCTCTGGTCGCTATGGCAACGCGTAAATAGTTCTTTCAAAATAAGACTCCAAGCTATAACACCGGAAAAGACCCCGGGAAACAGAGTTAACAATAAAAACACTGAAAACCATAAATTTCACATCCGAGCCTGAACTCTGGCGGCCCGGTACCAAACGGCTCTGGCCCGGGGAGCGCTGCTGTAGATCAACCTGCAGCATGTGCTGGAGTCCTGCGGGTTGCTGAATGCTGTTTATTGGCTCAGCGGGTTCTTAAAATGACAGCAGATGGGTCAGACGGGATCCGTTAACCTTGGAGGTGCGCAAGACTAACAAAGCGGCTGGCAGAGACGCCCACACCTCCCTCTCCTTCACCCCAAATCCTTTCAACGTGGAGGAGCAGCACCTCTAACATGTACAGCAAATCAGTCCCATGACAAGGATTAATGCAAGTAGACGTCAGACAAAACCCCCAAAAAGAACCCAAACAAAAGAAAAACGTAATGGAAGTACATTATTTTATTTATTTAACAAAGCATGACGTTGATGCCAAACCATGAGAGCAAAAAAGATGCATACAAACAGAAGTAAAACTGCAAACTAGCTGGAAGATACTTGTGCTGTAAAGAACAACAAAGTCATCAGGTTAACACATTTCACGGAGCTTTGCCTCCTCGCTGGGAGGACACTGGGTGCACCGTAGAAAAGAGCTCTCTTACACCTGACAGCCAATTATAACCCGGGGATGAAAGTCAGACCAGCCAGAAATGGTCCCAATGGTTAAAAGACTGAACGCCATATTAAACTGCGTGACACGCGATGTAAAGCATGATGTTTGAGGTAACTAAACCCTGGGAATGTGACTAACGATACATGTTTTGCCAGATTCTGCCGGACATCAGTGTTAATTTCAGTTCAGGTTGGCAAATATTTATGAGGCTTTTGATCCAGAAGCTCCGTCTTCATCGTCAGGTGGACACGCCACAAAATCAGCCAACATTGACGCCATGGCTTCGTCGTCCATCTGAAAGAGAGCGACGTCACACAGTGTAAAGCACAAGTTCACACAGTCAGGTCATCACCCTGACCGAAGAAGCTTTCAATCAGTGGACAAACAGCAGCTACCATCTGCATCTTAACGAGGGATTAAAAGCAATACCTTTTTCTTCTCCGGGCTTTGCCCCACCTCTTCTTTTCCGTGTCCTTCCTCCCTCTTCCTCTTCACTCCTTTCCCCTCCTCTCCATCACTCTCCTGCCCTCCTCCTGCTCCCGTCTCCGGCTGCTCTGCTTCCTTTTCAGAGCTCTTCTCAGTGTCTTCTTCCTGTTTCTCCGTCACATCTGGTTCTGTTG